TAAATGTCCCTGTTTCACATATACATGAATATATATATATTACCACAGAGAGAGAGAGAGAAAGAATCATTTAACACCTAGACAGACCTCCAGTATCTCCCTGGCTAGGTTTGCATTTCCATAGGCAGTCACTCAGCCCTCCTTATCTTCATGTATGGCTGCCTCGTGTTTAACACACAATTACATTTCCTCCCTCCAATTCCATTACAAATGGAATTGAGGAAAGCATTGTTTGAAGAAATGTACTGCTTCGCTTCTACTTATGTCGTACAATTCACGGAACGGTTGAGGAGGAAAAAGAGAGAGAAAGAAAAAGAACGAGTATATATGTATACACACACACACACACAAATCTGGTAGATTTCCAAGGAGTCAGTAATGTAATATTACCCTGAGCTGGTTTTTGAAATCATCCTTTCAGTTTTATTTACTGTAAACACAAACCTGCTTTGGATAGGGGTATATATATATATATATATATATATATATATATAGGTCAGGCAAAGCAGTCTAGGGCACAGAGTGAGGAGATCAAGAAAAACCAGAAAACAAAAAGATGGAAAGTTAATTAATTGCATTAAACTATGGACTAACTACCTTGCCTCCATTGCGATTCATTTAGAGAATATGAAAATCAGAAGAACAATAATAAAATCCCGCCAGCTCCCAGCGGAAGGAGATGGCCGGCAAATTGGATAGTTTTCTTAATCTGGCGTAAATAATAACATGTCTCCTCGTCTCTCATTCTCTCTCTGGCCAATTCCTCCTATCGTTTAGTGCAGACTCAAAAGCTTGTCTTCGTAATTGATATCAGTTACTCAATGAGGGCTCCCCCCCCATCCTTCATCTGTGCTTATTCTTTGTAGCCATTTCAAAGTTTACCCTTTTGGATTCGGGCATTGGGAATTAATTCATTTATTTCTTTTTCCTGGGGAGCTGCTTCGTATTTGTCTTGCTCCTTTTGCCAAAAAGAAAAAGCCAGCATCCTAAATCAAATTAAAGGCAAACTTGGAGAGGTCATTTAAAGTGGAAAGGACAGGTGGAGAAACAACAGTCCCCCCCAATTTTTATGGGTCAGAACAATGATGGTTAGTCTTTTCTTGGTACAATAATTCAAACTCTTTCTGCATATTATTTTACTTCTTTTAAAATATTGTTCAAAAGTCCTGGCTGCCTTATGAAACATTTCCACCCCTCGCAGTAGGTTGCATGATAAAATGAAATGAAGACCACAATTAAAAAGTAGTGTGAAAGTTAATGACTGTTGGGCACTTTTGAATGTGTAACCTAGAGTTAGGTCCTCCTGACTGATTTGTATTCACAATCTCTATGTCTTCACAAGTTTAGGGGCTATATAGGGACCATGAAAACCTCCCAGCCCTGACTTACTGGGCAGCAGCCGCTGTGAACAGAAGGGCTCTGTTCCCATGTCAATTGAGAAGCATCTGACTGATCTTCTCACTCTCCATCCCATTGTAGGGGCAAAAAGAAGACTCCTCACAGATTCTTTACCCTTGACACGAGGCTGGAATGGATCACTTTTCAAGTTCATCTTTCAAATACGAAGGCCACCCTTTCAAAAGAAAGTGAAATATCACATGCACAATTGCATATTCATGTATTTATAGAGAGCCCTTAGTATCTGTTGGGGGATCATGGTTCCCAGACCTTTTTAGTCACCCTCCTTTGGACACGCTGCAACTTCTCAACATCCTTCTTGAATTGTGGTGCCCAGAACTGGACACAATATATTTCAGGTGAACACTGGAGATCGTGTTGAATTATTATTCTTATTTTTTCAGGGAGCTTTGG